TGTGTGTGTGTGTGTGTGTGTGTGTGTGTGTGTGTGTGTGTCTCTCTGTGTGTGTGTGTGTGTGTCACGTATAGTGTTGCGCCTTTCATCTCGCCGAATAACTCATGAAGCAAAGAAACGAAAGAAAACAGCGGAGAACAGGGAAAGAAAGAGGGAAACAGAGAGGAGAAGATGGAGTGTGAGAAAGAGATACAGACAGGGAGAGCGCGCGCGCGAGAGAGAGAGCGAGAGAGAGAGAGAGAGAGAACGCGCGCTCGAACGAGGAGAGAGCATGTGAGAGATACAATTGAAGAATGAACAAACAAAATGAATGAATGGAGGAAGGAAGGAGAGAGAAATATAGAAACAGAGAGCTCCAACGACGCTAAAGAATGCAGCAAAGGGGCTGAGGCGGCGGAAATCTGTTACGTGCAGTACAAACCTGTATGCGGGGACAGGCCAGCAGTAGACCAGCCGCCGCCCCTCTGATATCATATACTAAATGAAGGTATTACGGGATGACGGATAATTAATCGTGCGTAATTTCATACGTTTTCGCGCATGTAACGTGATTTTCGTATCGATTTTTCGTATATATACGCAGTAGGCATTGCACGCACGGTTTCTCCCTTCGCCTCCGCGTTCGGTTATTTCTTTCTTTTCTTTTTTAATTTATCACTAAATTAATATTACGCCATCAATTCTTTTCCAGCAGCCGTATATCGGGCTGTGCAGTTTATGTGTTGACTGCGTGCGTGCGTGCGTGCGTGTGCGTGCGTGCGTGCGTACCTGTACGTGCGTGCGTGCGTGTCCGTGTGCATGCGTGCGGACCTGCGTGTACGTACGAACGTACGTGCGTGCGTGTGTGTCCGTGTGTATGCGTGCGTGTGCGTGCATATGTGTCCGTGATTGCGCGCATCTGCGTATGTGCGCATGCGTGCATACGCACGCAATCGCCAACTGACGTCGCATAATATTCAAACGAAATGCGTCGAGAATATTATTCATTAAATCTAATCAGGGACAGCCGTAAATTATCACGAGGTAATAACGAGGCGTTATATACATACCTTCTAAGCACGCCACCGAGGAGCGACGCATTGAGACATTCTGGAGGTGACAATCGTCGCTGAACCTCCCCGACTGTCACCTTGTACTTGGACGTCGAGCTTAGCAGCGACAGGCGACCGGGAACTGAGCAAAAGACGTCGGACGGGCTGACCATGCCCGTTAGCACGAGGTCCTTTTGATTTTCGTTGTTTCTGGGCTTCACGACTGAAACGAGAGGCAAGAGAGCGTGTGATATTATTCATGATGCGATTCCTAGACTGCGGAAAATCGTGGTTTTATCATAATGCTCGTCGTAGGAAATTCGCCGTTAGGCTGGGATAGTTGTTAGCATCATAGCATATCTGTAAACCAACGTGAATAGACACGGACATGCACCGACAAACAAATGTGGCACCCCACAGCAAACTGCTAAACGAACATATGCAAAGGAAAATTAATAGACATGTTCATTATGTTCGTAATATTATGTATTAATTAAATATTTATTAAATTTAAACGAATAGGACGTTAAAAAGGGTTGATACACACATACAAACACAGACGTACACACACACACACACACACACACACACACACACACACACACACACACACACACACACACACACA